CTGACAGGTTTTGACTTCCGTTGCCCCCCTTGAGATTTCCTTTCACCATTCCCCCCCCCCATGTTGAGTCATTTTTAAGCTTCTGAGCATTTGCTAAAGGTGAGGGGGGGAATTATTACTGTCAATAACTGGCACCTAAAATCTGCTAAACACCAAAACTACACTTTCAAATAATATGGAATGCATATGCCATGCCACTTGGGTAAATTTTCATAAACAAAAACTTAATGTACATCCCATATTCCCAGTGTACGAACAGTGCTGGTTCCAGTGGAGTTGTGATCGCAGCAGACTTTGGCAATAAGGGTGAAATGTGCATTCAAAAACCAATTGAATCGCCAACAAAAGTTATGAATTCAAATTCTTATATGCCAGTCTAGTACAATGATATCTGCATACTAACAATACCATTAATTCATTGCAGTGTATTTCTATACATATCTATACAGCTATGGAAAATCAGATTAATTGGGTAAAACCTTTGTTACAGTCGTTGTCATGGATATTTAAACATCTAGCCAATTTTTACAAAATCCACATGCCACACGTTATCCAGTGTCTGTTAAAAACATGCCAATTTTCAGTAATTTCAGGTATCACAATACGTTCTCAGAAAGTTGCAAGACCAGCAGTGTAGGTGATTATTTATTTCCTGTACACACTCTTGCATTGCGTATTTCAAATATGTCATTTATCCTGAGAACAATTTGCTTCTCCTGTGGCCTCTGTTCCACAAAGTACTCCAGCGTTTTTCAGATTTTGCACCTTCAAGGAACCCATTCCACATCAAACTAGCCTACAGTGAACCCCTCTGCATGTCTGCAGCTCTGGCCAAGTCTATTGGAAAGGCTTCATCACATACCTGATGAACTGAGTGTGCAATCAACACTCTCCTGGGCCACTAAACACAAGGTATGATTGGTACTGATGGGCAAGCTGTCTTTCAGGAAAGCTTTCTCCCATTATTGATCTTTTCATTAAGGAACTCCTGATAAGCCTCTTTGCTCCCCAGAATACAGTTTGAAAACCATTGCAGAGCAGTACTCGACACCAGTGGCTCGTAAACCTCTCCCCAACACACCCCGCCCACTACTGAAGACCATTATTCCGGTTAGTTTTTCTTTGAAAACCTCCACATTTTCTTATTTTCTAGTCACCATGTGGAAGGACACTAGGGCTTCCAGATTACCTGTCAACTATTTATTGAGCGTTCATTATGAATGGTTTGCCAGGAGGTTGTGTGATGTTCTGCCAAGCATGTGACATTCCACACTTTGCAGGAATGTTGTGTCAAGCAGGTGCTGTCCCATACTTTTCGTTTTCCTGTCACTTTCTTTACTGCAAAAAGTCTGGTTTGGGGGGAGAAACATATGTGTTGCTGAAGTTCACCACATCAGCTTTAATTCCTGGGATGCTGGAACATGTCACACCAATACCAGATTAGTTAAACTGGAGTACAGGGTTCAAATCAAAGTGCTTCTGATGATCTTCAAAGCCCTAAATAATTTAGGTGCGAGTTATCTTAAGGATGGCCTTCACCCATATCAATCTGCCCCACATCTTAAGATCTACTTTGGAGGCTCTACTGAGATACCTACCTTTAAAAACAGATTGGTAGATACACAGAACAGGGCCTTTTCATTGGTGCCCCCTCCCCAACTGGCATTCAGTTCCAAATAAGATCAGGCACACCCCACCCCTTGTTAATTTTAAACAGCTCTTAAAACCTTAGTTTTCATCATAGCCCTTGGGGGCCAATTAAGCTCTATAAATATTAGGAGGGGTTTTCAGCCAGCTGAACTCTTCTTCTTTTTGAATGATATTCTTGTTAGATTTTATGGGTTTATATTCTACATCACCTGAGGGGGTTTTTTGCCCAAAGAGCAGTCTAAACATCTATTGAAGAAATCAAATAAGTCAAATAAATAAAATCATGGTAAAAACCAGTTCCCTGAAGCGATCAGGGGGAAATACTGTGCTTAGAAACAGAAGGTGTCTTAGACAGCTTTTGTAATGAAAGGAAGGAAGACTGCCAAGCAGAAGCAAGGCGGCTTTTAACCTTTTCCTGGCAAGGAGAGAATATGTGAAAGCTCCAAAGTTAACCATTCCCTCTCCAGCTGCAACCCTCCCAAATGTGCCTCCAAATATATATCATTGAAAGCTGAGTTGCTATGCAGCAGGAGGGGTGGGTTAGGGGAGCTCACAGTGCACAGGAAGGGAAGTGTTAATCATTCTCTACCTTACTGTGACTCTCCCCTAAAAAATGTCATACAGCAATTAGATTTGAAATAAAACCTAGCTTTTAAAAAGCCAGGCTCTTGCCTCGGGGAGTGGGTCAGAGATGGAAACCCACAAAGTGAAAATTCCCCATGTCTGCTCTGAACCACACCAAGGCTCTGGCTTGCTAATCCAAAGGTTGAATTGGGATACAATCAAGAATCTATATTTGAGAAGAGAAAGTTTTCTATATGCAGAAAAGCATGCCATTTTGAAGCAACGGGTTGCATCCAATGAAGTTGTCCCATTAGCATAAGGACTTCTTTTCCTTCTCCTCTCCGCAGGTCCCCCTACAATTTTGGGGGGTTCCTCAATCCTTCAGTGTGGATTTGGGGAAAGTGTAGGGGACACTGAGAGAGCTGAGGGAGAAGAAGTTCTATTGTGCAGGAGAAGGCCCTTGCACCAATAGGATGACTTTGCTGGATGCAACCCTCATTGTGTCAGAAGAACACATCCTAATAGCTTATAGAATCCCAAATATTTCCCTACCCATAGCATACACCCATAGCAAGCCACCTTCCTTTCATCACATTGCATCTTTGACTGGGTTAGAGACTATTATAAAAAAAAACACAGTTAGAAATTCATTTAAATAAATGATGAAACTGTTGTCATTTCCCCTTGTGCAAACAGTGCTGGTTTTAAAGGGAAAGAGGGGCTGCAATTTCTTTAAAATAAAAATGAAATCACTAGTAGGCCGAATCACATCAGTAAGGCTTTGCAAATTCTTCTCCACCATGTTATTTCCATTATGACAAAAACTGATGAGTCACTGGAAAAGACTCATCATCACAAATGTGTGCTGGTGATAGTCCCGTCAATAACACAATGTCAGGGCTTGTGTTTTCTCCCTCATGCAAGGAAAACTCTACATACCCATCATTGAGAAGTCTATCAAGAAGAAGAAGAAGAAGAAGAAGAAGAAGAAGAAGAAGAAGAAGAAGAAGAAGAACACACCACCTGGGGAACAAAGAGGAGGAGCTTTTGACTGGTCCATTTTCCACATTACATAACTTGCAATTTTTAAGCCTGGCTTTGTACACAAGTGGACCCTTCCAGGGACAGTCCCAGATTTACAGAAGCCATCCCGGTTTCTGATTTGATTCCAGAATGTCCTGCTGTTCCTTAGGACATCCCTATTTTCATCTGAGAAATGTTGGAGGGTATGCACATGCCACTAAAATAGTCAGAAGAATTAATAATAAGAGACCTGCAGCTTCAGGAGGATGTGAAAATAATCAAGCTCTCACTGAGCAGCAGCAACGGAGAAACCTTAAAGGTTTTAGGCCTGAATCCTATATATGTATTGCAATACAATTGATGGCCTTCCTTATTCATCACGCTGTTGAGAGGATGAAAGAGTGTGCACTATCAAATTGTTCATTTAATTGGCATAGAAGCCTTGATCTATTTAAATGTTAACGTTATGAAAGAAGGGTTTATTATTAGCTAGCATGTTGTTCCAGTTACTTTTTCAGCTTCAGGTACTTTTAGAAAGCCTTTTGAAAACCAAGGAAATGTTTCTCATGGTAGAACAGAGAACAGCTAAGTACAAAACCTGCATGTCTCTTTCATCGTAATCATGTGTACCCTTCTGAACACTCCATTTTATTATAATTATTTGTCAGCTCCTGATTATAAGTTATTTTATTTCTTACAAGATGCTGAGCCTATGCTGGACATAAACAAAATATTGTACAACCGTTTGGATATATCTTTGATGTTTCTGTTGTGTTTTGAAGAAAGTTCTGCAAGTAAAGTTTGGAATAATATCTAATAGGTCTGGACAATGCTTTATTCCAAAAGGAATCAGTTTTTATGCATCCAGTTGCTTCAAGCTACACAATATTAATATCTGCACTACGTGTGTGTGTGTGTGTGTGTGTGTGTGTGTGTTGAACTGCCCTTAAATCTCTCTGACCATTTTGAAACCCAATGGAGCAACACCAAATTTCTCATGTCACTTCCAGTGAGGGACATTTAAAGGGGCATATAGTTTCACCATACACAAGCACACAGTTTTCCCTCAGTGCAAAGCTTTGTCTTTTGTTTTCTTTTTAGTCCTGCAAAAAAAATGGATGAAATCTTCATCCCCACCAGAGTCTATTCAAAAATATCCATTTGACTTCTGAATTCCAACCTTTGTTCCTGGCTTCCCTCATTATCCAGCTTGTCCTCACCAAATACTGTGACGAAGTTGTTCTGTGGTATAATAGGGTGCTTATTTTAAAAACAAAACATTGCATGTGGAATCTTTACAAGCTCTGTTAATAATGTTATGTTTCAGAAACTATTAATCATCCTACTTGACCCTATTTGTTCTGTACCTACGGGAAGTGATAGCCGATTACCACCACTTTGTTTTCCATCTGTGCTCTTTGATTACTTCACTAAAAGAAGAAAAAGATTAAAGTAATATAGTTTGTGCAGAACAAATATGCTGGATAAAAGCAGGCATTTAGCAGCGGGGATGGAAATGCTGCCTGATAATCACCCAATACGAGTGCAGTGTAATGAAAACGCACAAGAGAGGTACCTTATTTTGGCTTCTTTCAGATTCCAGTGTGCATAGGGCATGCTAGTCTCTGTTAGTATAGTATCAGTTATTCTAATGTATATTAGATACCTGAATATAAATGAATCATAGAATGGTAGAATTGGAAGGGACTTTTGAGGGTCATCTATCTAATCCAACCCCCTGCAATGCAAGAATCTTGCCCACATTCATCTCTGGCTGGGCTCGAACCACCAACCTTGTGGTTAACAGCCACATGCACTGACCCATTGTGCCACCAGAGTATGGTCTTAACAGAAGGCAAAGCAGTCTTAAGGCTTAAAGCATTGTGTTTGCCACAGCAGCTGGGCTCTGAAGGCCTGCTTGGGCCAAGTAAAAGCCTTGTGCTAGCATCATTAATTTTTTTTTAATCTGCTCTTTGGACAGCTGACCCCATGTGATGCAGGGGTAAGGGTAAGCAGTTGCAACATATTTCATTGAATTATTATTATTATTATTATTATTATTATTCCCCAATCCCATCTGGCTGGGTTTCCCCAGCCATTCTGGGCAGCTACTAACAGAATATTAAAAACACGATAAAACATCAACCATTAAAAACTTCCCTAAACAGGGCTGCCTTCAGATGTCTTCTAAAAGTCAAATAGTTGTTTATTTCCTTAACATCTGATGGGAGGGCATTCCACAGGGTGGGCGCCACTGCCTGGTTACCTGAAACCTCACTTTTCGCAGTGAGGGAACTGCCAGAAGGCCCTCGGCGCTGGACCTCAGTGTCCGGGGTGAACGATGGGGGTGGAGATGCTCCTTCATATATACTGGGCCGAGGCCGTTTAGGGCTTTAAAGCTCAGCACCAACACTTTGAATTGTGCTCAGAAATGTCCTGGGAGCCAATGTAGGTCTTTAAGGCCAGCCCAAGATATTTTGGCACCTGAGGCAAACCCCAAAATGTCCTCCCAGAAGGAAAGAAGGGATAGGTGAAGATCTACATCAGGAACAAAGGGTTCTGCTGTTAGCAGGACTTAGCTGAATACTGTGAAAGAGCCTTTGATTTAGCAAAGACATATTTTTTGTTTCATTGCTTCTGAGGATTTTTAAAAAGATGATAGGGCAATAATGCAACAAGTAAGGTAATGCTGTCTGAATCCATTTTCAAGGTTTCGGACACAATGTCTTACATACACATGGTATTCAAATAGATTTATGGTCATTAAAGTGTAATATCTCTATGGATAATGAAGATAATCCTGAGTTGCAACCAAGAATGCCACATTTGCAACTTAACATGTTATCTGATAACCTGTTAATTAGTAGTTACAGCATATTGCTGATAGGTTGGGCTGTTGTTTTTCCTTATTCTATGTGTATCAATGTATATATTAAGCATTGCATCATAAATTGGCTTTTTCAAGATATCACAACAGACAAAAAAGTATCACAGGAGCAATCCTATGAATAGGGAAAGAAGAAACCAAGAAAACTGCCTGACTCAGTGGAAATGAAGTAAAAGGGGGGAAAGAACCAGTCAGCACTATAATAGTTTTTGTCCATTCCACAATACAGCTGAGGGGAAGAAATGCTCCCTGCAAACACAAAGGGATGGCATACAAAAGAGATCCTTGCACACTAAGATGTTATCAATAGCACCATGGGGGAAAGAGGGGAAGGCAAATTAAATATATTCAGATTAATGTGAACAAGATGCTGCCTTTAAGAAAAGCTGGGTCTGTTGGAAACACTTTTCGACAGCTATCCTTGGCTCTCAAAACTCTTCCCTTCAGGAGATCCTTGGCTCCCAAAAGCATCTCAGTCTGCTGTTCACAACAGCTTACCTTCTCATTTGATATTATCTAATGTAACCTAATTAAAGTTGCTCACCAATAAGCTGAAGAACTTCTGCACATTGAATTTTAGATGGTGCATTTTCTTCTGTGTTTTTGGATTTCCTAAGGCGCAAATATTCTCTGAACTGATAACTTACTGCAACACTCCACCTTTGCAGCATCTGTGCTACTGACTCTCAAACTTTGGGATTGTTGAAATATATACTACAACAACAACATTAATCAATTTGAGCCGTGTGACTCAAATTGGGTCTACTAGACCCCAAGTTTTTAAGAAAATTAGACAAAAGTCACTTCTGGAGCCCCTCCGGGATTAGGGGCCCTCAAGCCTAAGCCTCATTAGTTTCATAGTAGATTTGCCCAGGGCTTTCTTTCAGCTGGAACTCTCCGGAATGGCATTCTGGAACTCTCCGGAACTCACAGGATCTTTCCCTCTCCAGTAAAGGTCTCTCTTGACAGGCAAACCCAACTGGTTCCTAAACAAAAGCCAAACCCTTGCAAAGCTTGCTTTAAAGGAGATCATAATGACGCTATCACACCATCTTCAAGTGTCTGAAATGTTTATTGTCAGAAGGCAGCCTCAGCAAGACAGCAGTCTTGAATTGCTGCAGATGCCAGGACTCATTCCAGAGAACAAACAAACAAACAGCTGCTCTTTCAGCACTGTGTTTGGGGATAGCAAGAAGACTTGAGAAGTAACATCTCAGCATTCAGACACAAACCACTGAGAAATCCATTGCAAGCCTAACGCAGGCAGGTTGCGCTGGAAGTACAACAAAGAGGCACAATGGAAATATGATATAGGAGACCACCCAGCTCCATTAAAGTGGGTTTTGTCATTGGACTTCAGTGGGCATCGAAGGCAGAGGTGGGTCTAAGGCAGCGCAACCATTTCCGTCCACACTGGGCGCTGAGCCAACTGGGTGCAACTATGACGTAGCGAATTGAGCAGAATGGAAGGCGGGAGGTGCCAAATTTTGGCCTCGCACAGGGTGCCGCTGAAATCTGAAAGGCCAAAGTCCGCCCCCTAGGCAGCCATAGTTGCTGATTTAAAAGCAAAGTCCAATGCAGTGCATTGTTGGATGGGAGCCACCAGCCTGCATGAATGTATCCAGAGATTTAGCAGCTGATGTAATTTTCTGAGCCTCAGCATTCATCCCTGGAAGCTCATCGCTTGAAATGAGATCACACACACACACCAGACCCACCCACGTCCCCCCCCCCAAAAAAAAACCCTTCATATAGCATTAAGGAGCTACAGTGAAAGGCAATGTTTGTTTTGAAATAAAGATTACAACCTATACAGTGCTTCATAAATATTTGCATTGTATAATTGTTTCAGCAAATGAATTGGCAAGCCAAACCACACAAGGATGTTACTCTCTTTCCCCTATCCCTGCACCACCCCCATTACAAAGCAGAGACGCTGCAGAATTTTAATTAGTTTCTTTCTAAGCATCTGCGAGGTCTGGTCACTTTTTCCTTTCTTTCTTTTTTAACCACTGTATTGCAAAGATTAACTTTTCTTTCAAGGCTGCCTCTCTGTTGAATGTGATTACCCGTTTTTATAAATCTTCCCAACCCAATGAATACCTGTTAGTTAGCCAAAAAAGGGGGGGTGAGGAGAAAAAAGGAAAGAGGGGGGCCTCGGTGACAGTTTTATGGCATGAGTTGCAATTTTGTTTGTATTTATGTAATGCATTGTGCAGCCTATAATGTGCTGTAATGTGTTATTGTTTGAAAGAGGCTGAGTTCGGTGAGAGTTCTTGAGCGAGAGGGCAATAAAATTGGATCCCTTGTATCAAACTATCTGAGCTTCATTAAAGTTGTGCTTTCAATGGCCAGAGGCTGCCAGAAAGAGGGCAGGCTTCCTTTACTGTGCTATAGCTTGGCTTAGCGATACTAACATTAAAAAGAAAGAGCACACTCTAAACCAGCATTCCTCAAAGGTTATGAAATTACATTAACCGCGAAGCCTTTCTAAAATTTACTAAGGGTTGAATTCCACCTAGCACTGATGAGACCATTCTTTGGACTCAAGGATCTCTCTGTGCACAATGGAATGCTCTCCCCTTCTACCCCCTCTTCTATGAGGCCCCTAAATCTGTTCTGGGATTCCCCTGACCCTCCAGAGCAGGTTCAGGGACAGCACAGAACATGGGGGGGGGGAGATGAGAAGGGGGGTCTTGGAAGAAAGGATCGGTGATCTGGGGGAGCCTGCAACAGCCAGGAGACAAGAGTCACAAGCAAGAGAAGCTGCAAGATTGGAGAGTGAAGAACAGGTGCAGGAGAAGGAAAGGGTAGGTCAGGCTAGTGTAGAGTCAACAGCTTCCACAACACTACCACCTGTCCCCATCTCTCCTGCTCCACTGTCTCCCAGGTCCAGGAGAGGATTGAAGAGAGAGGAGCAGAAACAGCTACACGTAGGTGGAGTCTTCACCTGCTTCCACACAGCTCGGGTGGGGGAGATACATAAGATAAAGTTGGGGGTGGGGCCTCACTGATGCTGCAACTGCCTCATTGTCAAGGAGCTGCCAACAAACCAGGTCATCCACAGGGCAGGCACACGCACGGAAGGCACAGAATGCAATTAGTTTTTTTATTAGCAGAAAAACAACAATACAGCAATGTCCCTGGTTCGTCCTAACTCAACGAAGGTGTTGCTGAAACTAAGCTCTATGCATGTCCTTCCCCTATAGCCTCTCATTCTGGAAGGCTGCATCGAGAAGTGAGCTCCTCCTCTGGGCCTGTCTGGCACATTGCTCAGCAACGTGCAGGAACCTCCTGGGGTGGGGGGTCAGAGGCGGAGCAGAGTCAGTAGGACTGGGACTGTGAATATGCTGTGACTCTCGGTTTCCAAGGCCCTCCTTCTCCTGACCCCCCTTGATCGCCCAAGTCTTCTGCTTCTATCAGCACCCAGCTCATCCCTTCTGCTGACTGCTCCTCAGTGTCCCAACACCAGGCTCCAGGCTCTAAGATGTCACCTTTAGAGCCTTTCCCAGGGGACTCTTGAGAGGCAGGCTCCCACCACTCCTCTTCATCCAACTGGTCCCTGACACTCATCCGGTGCACACCTAGGAGTAGTTGAGAGACGCAGAACTGATGGATAGGTGTACTTTTAACAACAGATAATTAATTCCTCACTATGACCATTCCTTGCCTGACAACACTATCCCCTCCAAAGGCTATCCCCTCCAAACGCTATCCAACACCTCCCCAAAAACTAGAGTCACCACTGGGAGCAATCATTGCTGCCCAGAATCAAGAGCTTCCTCATGGATGACTATAAATTTTGTAAACACAGCAATGTGATAATCATTCTACACAGCCCAAAAGGTAATCTGATATAAACATGGTGTTACTATGTACCAATGCCTGAAGTAGTTGCAGAATTTCCTTGCCAGGCCAATGTGAAATGGACACAGTAGGAAAGGAAGAAACTG